TTTGTTGGGAGGAGACTGGCTTCAGAGACTCTTCTTGGAGACACACATCAGAGACTCACTCAAAGGATCAGGCCCTGGGGGGCGGAGGGGCCGGGAGTCCGGCGCTTTATCTTCGTCTGCGGCCGGGCTGGCGGCGTTGCCGGCCTTGGACACCCGGAGAGCTGCCCGGAGCTGACCTTCCTGCCGGCCGCGCTCTGACGGCCCCCGGTTCTGCCTTCCTTGCCGAGGTCCCCGCTGCCGGGCTCCGGCCCCAGGTAATACCCTTGCTCCCGATCCGATCCTCACTACCAGCCCGGGTCCACCCACCCCGGCCGAGAGGAAGGGGATAGAGGCGGCGGCTGCCACTCCTGCCCCGCGGGCCGGGCCTGGTCCTGGGATGGGGGGCGGAGGAGGCGGCGGCGGCTCCGCGGGTCCTGGGGAGTTGGGGTGATGGAGAGGGCGGGAAAGTTACCAGCTGACCCCCGCTGGCTGGCAGCGTTGGGGATGGCTTTGGTGTCCCACACATGCTGTGGCATCTCGCAAGTCGGTAGTGAAGAAAGTTATGACTTAGAAGACATTTTATTCCTTAAACCAAAAATGCACTCAGGAAGTCGGCTTCTAATTGATTAAGCGGGGGAAGCCCAAAACGAAAAACAACGGCAGAACTTCTCTGGGGATCCAGACCAGAACTTGGCTGGAGATCCTGGCTAGGCTGCTGATCAACTGAACGCTGTCTCCGTGTCATTCCTTCTTCGCCGACTCTGTCTACACCTTTGGGAACCCCTGGATCTGCTGGGGTTGGACCCCGGCAAGGATGGATTTTGGAAGGAGCTTTGAGACATTCAAGAGTAATCACCTAATAAAGAAAGTAATCTTTAAAAATACCTGTGTCTCAATGCATCACACACGTAGAACTCTCAAAGACTTCCCACTTCTCATCAGCAAAAAGACCAAATTACTGCCGCCACTCTTCCCGTCTCCAGTTGATTTGGGCCCACTTTTCTTTTGGATCTCTGGGCTCCAGCCACAGGGGTTTTATATTTGTTCTAAGAAAGCTTCTTTCTCGTTAAGATCGCCACCTCTTAGGCACTGTTCTCTCCCTTCCTCCAACTCCTATGTATCCTTCATTATCAGCCCAAATATCACTACAGGGAACCCTTCCTGTCCTGGTGAAGTTCTCCCAGCATTCTGTTTTCCTTAGCTGCAGTTAATCATTGTAGCAATGATTAGTTACTTAGATCAGTGGTTCTCAACCTTCCTAATGCCATGACCCTTTAATACAGTTCCTCATGTTGTGGTGACCCCCAACCATAAAATGATTTTCGTTGCTACTTCATAACTGTAATTTTGCTACTGTTATGAATCGTAATGTAAATATCTGATAGGCAGGATGTACTTTCATTGTTTGCGACCCACAGGTTGAGAACCGCTGACTTAGATGCTTTGTTTCCTCTACTAGCAGGTAAATTTCATGAGCGCTAACTAGTCCCCATCTTATTTGTGGCTTCATTCTCTAGAGCAGTGGTTCTCAACCTTCCTAATGCCGCGACCCTTTAATACAGTTCCTCTTGTTGTGGTGACCCCCAATTTCATTGTTACAAATTGAACATAATTAAAGCATAGTGGTTAATCACAAAAACAATATGTAATTATCTATGTGTTTTCCGATGGTCTTAGGAGACCCCTGTGAAAGGGTCGTTCGACCCCCAAAGGGGTCTCGACCCACAGGTTGAGAACCGCTGCTCTGGCCTGGCACAAAGAGTGAATGAGTTGGAGGACAGGGGAATGAACTTTTGAATAGGAAATAATTAAATGGGGAAGAGTGCCTGTTTCCTTTGGGAAGGAAGTGGGAAATGCTTTTAATACATTAATTTTGGAATTTATCAGGTGAGATTAGTAAATATGGTGACCATACAGATGTTCGAAAACCTGTCTGTGTTCTTTAGTTTTGCTAATTGACTCAATGACCTAATTCTTTGATATGTAACTGTTGTGGGGTTGTGTTTAGAAGGAATAGGAAGAAATTTTATGTTTTGGATTGTAAATTTATCTGCAACTGATTCTCCTCTCCACTCCACCTCCCATCCCCCACTGAACCTAGGTGTGCTACAGCAAAGTTCTTCACTGAGAGTAGGTGCTCACTATTTGTTTTATAGATTTATAGGTTCTTTTGCAAGCTTTATTAATAGGAACACTCTAGGCAGGCTAAAGTTGACACTTCTTTTAACCTGGTTCATTTGTTTCTCAAATCAATTCTTTTTGTTTTGCTTTTGTTAAACAGGAAACCATGGGCCCAATAGAGCATCGTTTTTGCTGAAAGCCCATGCTCCCAAATCTAGATTTAATACCTGGTCTGATTGCAGTCCTGATCTCTCCCAGAAACATAATCTACCTGATAAGACCCCTGCCTTGCCCTACGGGAAGGTGTCCTTGCCTGAAATAGTCCACCCTTAACTTCTTAGTACTACCCTCTTCCTGCCTATAAAAACCTTTCATTTTGTACAACTTATCAGAGCACCCTTCTAGTTGCTAATGGGATGCTGTCCAATTGAACCGCTTAATAAAAACAATTAGATCTTCAGATTTACTCAGCTGAATTATAATACTTTTAAAAAAAATTTTTAAAAAGACAATCAGAAATGAATACAGTAACTGAAATGAAAGATACATTAAGTGGAATCAACAGCAGATTATTAACACTTTATTAGGCCAAATTAGATGCTATCACACTGAATATTACAAAACCAACGCATAGATTAGATTCTTAAGAAATAATTGTTTAATCAGTGTGTTGTATTTTAAAATAATTATCTAGTCAGCTTTATGTCATCTTGGGTATAAATGTTTCCACTGCTACTTACTGGCTATGTGACTTTGAACAAGTTTCATAGCATTTCCAAATCTTTTGTGTCTTTTAAAGTGGAAATGTTAAGTGAGATATGTGATGCACTTAACCTGGCATCAAGCACAGTAAGTGTTACTGACTTAGTAAAAATTAATGCCGGGTGTCTTCATTGCTGGACCTCTTGCAAGACTAGTCTTATGATCATTGTTTTCACTTCCTTAGCTCATTTTGCAACCCAGTCCCATACATTTCTTTGTCCTTCCTGAAACTAACTAGAAGTAAATCATAGCTATTAATGTCCCCAAATTGTGAAATATCACTATCCTTTTTTTTCTCCATTTAAAATATTTACTGATTTTAGAGAGAGGAAAGAAGGAAAGGAGGGAGGGAGGGAGGGAGGGAGAGAGAAACTTCGATTTGTTGTTCCATTTATTTATGTATTTATTGGTTGCTTCTTGTATGTGCTTTGACCAGAGATTGATGCTGTAACCAACTGAGTTACCTGGTTGAGGCCTCCATTTTTTGGTTCTACTTAAATTCTCCTTGGTATTGGCCATAGATTACCTCTTGAATCGTCTAACTTGATTTTGAACATTACTTGCTCCTGGTTCTCTAATTTCTCCTAGTCTTGCTTTTTTAGTGTTCCTTAATTCCCTTATGATATTGGGGAAATGACTTAACCACCTGTAAAATGGGATATTAGTACCTGCCTGCCTGCATAGAAATGAATCATAGTGTAAAGTTAATATTAGCTTTATTATTTCCTAGGCAACCTCTTGACTTATGGTCTCCCTGGGCAATCTCCTTCCTGTGTCTTGGCCTTAGCTGCTGCCTGTGCATACTGATGAATCCCAGATTTCCATCTTCAGTCTGAACTTGTGTATTCATCGACCTGTTGGTCATCAGCATTTGGCTGACCCACACTCACATCATATTAAGCTTGTCTACTCCTTTCTCTTCTAAAGTTGCTGCGTTAGAAAACTCACTTGGGATCTAGATTTACAACTGCCTTCTGGATATAGCCATCTGAATATCTCATAGATGCCTCAGATTAATGTTTGTAAATTTATCTCCCTTATCTCTTCTTTCTTCGTTTGTTCACTTAGTAAACTCATGTCATTTGATCCTTACTTCAGACCTTTATCATTTTTTGTGTGAGCTCTGTTCTCCCTGTCAGTAATCTTCTTTCATTGCACATCTGTCATATTGTCACACGAGTTATCTTACTAAAAGACAAATGTCAAGTCACCCTGTTATTTAAAAAAACTATCAGCTCCTTGTTTGTGCTCTAAGTTCCAGACTCCTTGGAATGGCCTCGTAAAGGCCTTTGACTTTGACTTTTGCCCTTCTGCTTGCTCTGTGCTCAGCTTTATTCCTTCTCTTCCTTGAAGATTTAAACTAAATTTTACTTTCTTCAGGAAACCTTTTCTAATTGCCCTGATGATCCGTTGGCCACCAGGCTGAACTCCCTTCATACTACATGATATCTCAACTACTATTCTGTAACACCATTAGGTGTTATGATTACATTTTAATGACTTTTGCCCACTGGATTTTCACTTCTGGAGGGTACAGACCTGTGGTCGGCAAACTGCGGCTCGCGAGCCACATGTGGCTCTTTGGCCCCTTGAGTGTGGCTCTTCCTATGCCTTAGGAGTACCCTAATTAAGCTAATAACATTGTCCCTACCTATATAGTTTAAGTTTAAGAAATTTGACTCTCAAGAAATTTCAATCCTACTGTTGATATTTGGCTCTGTTGACTGATGAGTTTGCCGACCACTGGTACAGACTTTTCGTGGTAATCTGCGTATCCTAGGGCTCAGCACACACCTCAATAAAATGTTTGAAATAATGTTTGAAAAACATTTTTAAGCAAATTGTCTTGCCTTCTATGTTTAAACTACCACAGCCTTTTAAAGAATGTCAGGGTCATTAAAAACATGAACAAGGTCTGTACTTGCTCACGTTTTTCATAGTGTGCTCTCTTCCCATCCTGTTTTGATGCCTAGCAAACTTCTAGTTCTTCTTTTGAACTCTGGCTCGATGAATGCTACTTCCTCTATGAGGACTTGTTTGCTAACATCATTGTAGAAAGAGGTGCTGAATATACATGAATTTTATTTTCAGATAATTGATTGGCACATATCTTTTAAGTGTCAGAACTTAAGAAAGATTTTTAGTCTAAATTGCCTTGCCTTCTATTTTTAAACATAGCCTTTTAAAGATGTGCCAAGGTCACTGAAGCATGAACTTCAGCTAAGGTCTGCTTTGATACAATGATGTATGAGGGGACGCATAAGAAACATAACTCCTTTGATCACACTGAAAACAAAACATAAAACTTCTACTTGTTCTCTTTTTTTTAATGTTGAGTCATACTTTTAAAGTTTTCTTTCTTTACTGTCATTTATAATTATGCTCTGGCAGT